TATAAAGAGAAAGAGAAAAAGAAGAAGAAAGATATCATATCATATTTAAATTCAAGTCTTTGGCCCTTAGAGGAAACACATAAATCATAGAAATTCTTACTTGGGAAACCAGATGAGGAAACACCGATCCAATCGACTGTCCAGCTTTTCTATCAGCAGTCATCAAGGTAATGCCAAAGTGAGGATGGTTTGCCAGCAGCCGAACAATCTTCCAGAAAGAAGGATCATCTCAGCTCATTGTAAGCCATAAAACCATGGAACTACTTAAATATTGAGTACATAATTATCTAACCCAATTCAATTCTCATCTATACTTCACATTACTGCTCTGAGTTAAAATACGAAATGGTAAACAAAAGGGTTTGTCAGTGAGCCACTACCTCAGAACCAGTGTAACCACTGGCTCCAAGAACACCAAGGCGAACTTCCTTTTCTGCCTTCTGGGTTTTTGTATTCACGGAACATTTAACAAACACCTTCCCTACATTTCGCTTCTTATCCTTTGGATTGTTAAACCCGTCCTGCATTTACCAAACCTCAATAATAAGTTCAACTTTTATGATGAAAACACTAACACAACAAATCAAAGTATCTAATTGACTGATAATTTACAATGCAGGGCTTTAACTGGGTTTCTTTTTCCAGCATTTTCTGAGAAAACAAACAGAAATCTTAATGAGTACATACCTTCCTGAGGCACCCAGTTTGAAGAAAATTGGAGCTGAAAGTTGCAGAGCTCATCTTCTATCAGAAACTTGCACAGAGCAACAGCACATAGAAAACTTCAAATTGAATACCAGCTCTCACAAGCCTAAACTACAATACAGCATGTAACCTTCTTCTTTTTTCGCAGACAAAAAAGGTTCTTTTTTTCAGTAAGAAAACGGAGTTTCCCCGCTGCAGAAACCGACAGAGCATCCATGACGAAACATAGAATATATTACACGGTAAAAAAGACACAAGTGCGGGTGAAAAAGTAGTAAACAGTAACTCAGTGGAAAAGGACAAAACATTAGGGTTAGGATTTTTTTTTTCTTTTGGTTTGCCAGTAGGGTTTGGATTTAAGTGGACTTATTAAGGGTGAGGTGTGAAATGATAGCTTCAAAATAAAAGAAAGATTCACTATTATATTCAATATAGAGGCCCAAATTTTAAAAAAAAAACTCTACATGAAATGGACTTTAAAATACATCTAAAGCCCATTTACAGCATAACAAAGACACTTTGAACTTTCTATAAATTACAAAATTTCCGTCTATTTCTTAAAACAAACCCAACTCCATAACCTTATAGAAAACCCTAAAACACTCAATAGGGCATCAAAGAAATTTAATAATCAAAATTATATTCAATAGAGACAGCTGTCAATTTTTGGGTTTTTTTTGTTTGTTTATATAAATTAAATGGTGTTGAGTTTATCTATATCATTAATGCTAAGAATAAGTATGTAACTAAATATCTCAAAATAATATTTGAAGATAGTTGCAAGGGGGGTGTGTAGCTCAGTTGCTAACAGAGTATTTAGCTGCATCTGGGGTCCTCAGCAGGGCTAGACTTGAGATTTTTAAGGCCCAAGTGAAGTCGAAAATAGACTCTATGTATAGCTTTACACAAGAATCATTTAATTTTATTTATGTGTGTATAGAATATTAAAAAATAGAGTCTTTCATAACCGTAATAAATAGTTTAGGCCTCAAATAAAATAAAATTTATTTTTGGTATATCTGCATATATAAGAAATGGTTGAAGACAAAAAAAATATCAAACATTAAAGCTTTTTATTTGTTTAAAGATATTTGGGTTTAATCAAACATGGATCAGTTGGATCAAATATTGTATCACTATGGTTTCTTATGCAATACTTATTAATGGTAAACCTTATGGAAATATATCCCCGTCTAGGGAAGTGAGACGGGGTGATCCTTTATCTCCTTGTTTATTTATTTTATGTGTGGAACCTTTTATCAGGAATTTAAATAAATTAACCCTTAACACTTCCTCTCATATTGGGTTGCTATGTTCTAATCTTGGGATCAAAGTTTCAAATCTTTATTTTGCAGATGAGTGCTTACTTTTTGCAATTTCGGGAAAATATTGAGGAATACCTAATATAGTTAAATGGAAGGATCTCTCTAATACACAGGAATTGTTGAATAAAGTAAATTAAAAATTTTCTAGTTGGAAATCTAATTTACAATCTAGAGCAGGAAAATTAATACTAATTAATTCTCATATTTTAAGCATGCCAAAATATATAATGGGTTGTTTTCCTTGTTCTAAAAATGTTATTACAAAAACTGAAAATTCAGCAAGTAAGAAACATTAATAAAACAGAGTATAGCCGCGCGGCTATAGCATAGCCAAGCGGCTATACTATTTCCTTGCGATTAGGGGCACGTGTCAAAATTAAAATAGCCGCGCGGCTATACTATTTTTGTAAGAAACATTATTAAAACAGCGTATAGCCGTGCGGCGCTACTATTTTGGGAAAAAAGAAAAAAAACCGAGTATAGCCGCCTGAGTACTACACGTGTCAAAATATGTATAGCCGGACGGCTATACGATTTTGAAAAAAAATATAAAAAAACAGAGTATAGCCAGCGGCTATACTATTTTTGGAAAAAATCAGAAACGCTACACTCGGTTTTTTTATTACAAATTTATAAATAAACTCAATCCTAGACATGTATTTATAAAAAAACCCTAACACTATTTAAACATAGAAACACACCCAAACTCAACCCCAAAATCAACAATTGTATATTTTTTGGGTGTGTTTATAAATGGATTTTGAGTGTGTGTAATGATGGGTTTTTGGGTGTGTTTATAAAGTGTTTTGGGTGTTGGGTTTTTTTATAATTTCAGCCCCCATTTTGGGTGTTTTAGTGAAACCCCTTTTTTTTATTTGGTCAAGAGCATTACTCATTTCCAGGAGTTCCATTTTCGAGCTCTCACTTATCTTCTGTCTCTCTATCAATTCCTTCTCAGCAGAATTACCTTGCTGCCATGAGCTCTCAGCCCGAGGTTTTCACTGGACAGCAATTTTACGGACTCACTCTCTTCAAATATACCCAACTCAAGAGCCGAGATTACGTCTGTTTTCTCCTGCAGTTGAGTTTCAATTCAAGCATTTGGCTGTTAGCGATGGCCTGACCAAGCTCTTATGATTTTGCTGAAATCTCGTACTCTAAAGCCTCCAAAGAAGACAATATTTCCTCAATTTCATCTTGTTGATCCTTATTCTTAGATGCATATTCCTGCAACAAGCTCAGATCAAATAACAATCCCTTAAGAACATCATCCTTCCCTGGTAATTCAGCCTGAAGAGACAAATTTTCAGATACCAGATCCTTAGCATGGAATCGACCTGCTCTATAAACTCAGATATTCTCTCTCCAGTTTCACATATTTCTTGAAACATTTTGTCCACAATGATGTAACATTTTCGCCCTTTAAAATATTATGTAATATGTTAGTCACTGAATCAATGCACTTCTTACTGTTCACATTTGACGTGGTGAGGAATTCATCCTTGCTTTTCTTGAGAGACAAAATTTCTTCCCTGAAGAGAACATTCTCTTCCTTCAGTGTATTAGTTTCGCTAAGACAGATCCGCAACTCCTGGCTTTTTTAGCGTAGTTCTTCCATAATGGCAGACTCTGATTGTTTGAGTTCATACAGTTCAGCACTTTTCACCCTTGGATTAGTCTCCAGATCAATATGAATCTGCAGTTTTCTTTATCAAAGACATTTATACAGCTTAATGAAGATGAAAATTCAGAATTCGACTCCTCCAAATTTTTTTAGAGTCATGCACTAAACTACTCTTATTTATGGGTATAGACTCTGATAATGGCCTAATAGTAATCGATAATGCTTTAAACTACTCTTATTTATAGGTATTGCCGGCCGGCTATACTAGTTCTTAAACAATCAAGTATAGACCCTCGGCGGTACCATTAAAAAAAAACAAAACAGAAAAAACCGATGTTAGCCGCTCGGCTATACTATTTACACACACACATATATATATATATATATATAAAGGACACCTTGCAATTAGGCGGCCACGTGTCAAAATCGGTATTGCCGCTCGTCTATACGATTTTTAAAAAAATTTAAAAAAAGGAGTATAGCCTATGAATAGAGTATTTGAATAGAATAGCCGCGCGGCTATACCATTTGAATAGAATATTTTAAACGTACAGCCGTTCGGCTATACGCTACGAATAGAATATTTTAAAAATATAGCCGCCGCCTGTGTACACTCTGTAAATAGAAATTTTAAATGTATAGCCGAACGGCTATACTCTGTAAATAGAATATTTTAACAGTGTAGCCGGCGGCTGTACTTTATGAATATAATATTCTAGTAGTATAGCCGCGCGGCTGTAAACGATGAATAGAATGTTTTGGAAGTATAGCCGGTCGGCTATACGGTTTTAGTACAATATTTTAATGGTACAGCAGATCGGTAAATAAAATATTTTAAACCATAGCCCAGCCACCACCCCCTACCCAGATCCATCATCGCCATCACCATTCTTCGTCGTCGTCATCATCGTCGTAAATTTCCGAAGAATTATCGTCTGATCCCAAAACTGGATGAAATTCCGAAGAGTTGTGGTAGTAAGGTTGAGAAATTCAGAGCTGGGTTTGTTGTTGTTGTTTTGCTGAGAGTAAAACTCGTAAAGTCTCCAAATTGGCGGTGGCGTGCTACAAAGCCCTCCTATTTTCCCTACCAATACACCGCGTTTCAACTTTTTCACCGTTGATGATCCTTCTTGCTTTGTTCTTTCACTTACCACACCCTTTTCTTTTCTTTCCATATATATATATATATATATATATATATATCTCTCTCTCTAAATTTCTATACGCACGCAGACATGCACAGATTGTTAGAAACACTTTAGATTTCTTGAAGGGCCACCAAATTTGTATGATCCAATATATGCACAGAGAGGAGCACAATGGAAAAATCTGAATTTGTATTAACGTGTATTCACATCTGTTTTATTTACACAACCGCAAAAGAATAATATACAGCTGAGAATGAAAGCTTTTAGACATTAGAAAGACAGAACTTGTATACATATAAATATTAGCAGAAAGCTAACCAGACTCTGATTCTTTACATCAAAGAATAAAGTCATCGATCTAAGGGAGAAAAATATGGAGCTTGGGACATTCTTTTCGGAGTTTGACGATTCTCATCCGTCCTTGAGCTTATTGGTGAAGCTATGAGCTCTGACAGTCGAATTCTTTCACTGCTTATTTTGTTCTGTAGAAACAAAATATTAGGATCATAACGTAGTTTTTGTATACATTATACATTCCTGTACAGCCAAACAAGCTCAAAGATAAACAAAATGCTTTTCCAGTGCTAAAATTTTATATACCTTATACTTCAAATCCTGCAATTCTCTATCCATCGAAGTAACCCTGTTCTTGATTTGCTCGAGTGCCTCTTCAGCAACGGATGGGTTTATGTGGGTTGATGGTTTTGTTATTCCAGCAGCCTGAAAGTTAGTTCAAAAGAAAATATAAGTCCAGGTTTGGTTTTTTAATTTCTGCGAGTGAATTAAGTAACCACATGACCTTTTAACATACCTTCAAAACACTAGTACACAGCCCTAACAATTTCTGTGCTAGTTGCAATTTCTCCTCCTCAGTTTCCTGTAGCAGATTCACTTCCATTGTCAGGCATCGAACTATGGGTTGATTTTGCACCTCTCTCTCTCTCTCTCTCTCTCTCACACACACACACACACACACACACACACACACACACGAGACAACACTAACCTCCAGTTTGGCACTCAATCGTTGCTCTTCATCAAAATCAACATAAGGATTCCTCCCACAGGAAGCACGAAAGCGAGCAAGCTCTTCCTTGACACGTGAAAGAATAACTTCTGTCCGCCGGAGCTTAGTGCTTAGTTCTTCATTCTGAACTTTTAGTTTGTGATTTTCTTCCTGTTGCATTATAGACAAGACTCACTCAGATTGGCTAGGAATAGAAATGATAAGTAGAGAAAATACAGATGCTGTGCTTAGAAAGACTTCATTAGCAAGAATATCTTAATTGGAAATATCTTGCCTTGATTTTTGCATGATGATGAATCCGCTGCTGGAGGTTTTGCTGACCAGACAGCTTATTTACTTCCCCTTCAAGTTCCATCACCTTCTTTTTATGATTTACGTTCTCCACCTACACAGATCAAAAGTAATAAGCCAAGAAATAAAGAAGATAAAAGATTCACTTTATTTAGTGAATAATGTCTCAAAAACAGTCTCAACCTTCAGCATTTCATTTTCAGTTTTTAGAAACTGATCTCGCTGCCTAAGTTTTTCCAAAGCAATTTGCACAGCTATGAGTTCAGCCTGTTTTCGGTCAATTTCCTCGAGCCACCTAGAATATGAGGCTTAAAGAAACTTAGGCATATGGAAGATAGAAAAGTTACTAGAAAATTTGGAAGTTTTGAAGTACTATGTGCTCACCCTTGTCTTTCCTGAATGAATTCATTCAGCTGTTTTTTCAGCTTAACTACCTCCTGTTCCTGAATGAAAGAGTTAATTACAACGAAACACAACAAAAGTTATCTATCCGAGTTTTAATATAATTAAAGCTGAATACCTTTTCTTCGGATTCCACACTATGAAGCCGGGCCTTCTCTGTTATTTTCTGCACTTGTTGATTATCCAATAGTGACTAGCATTCACAAAAAGGGAAAATGTGAGATGATCATAGCAGTTCGTTTTTGTTAAAAAAGTAAATCATAATTGTGCATCAGTAATATAATTATTTGATATTTGTTATATTGTGTACAATAATTTACCACGTAAGTGGTCATATCCAACTTGACTCCCAGTAAGTCCCGAATTACATCATGGGTCATGCTTTCAGCAGCAGCCAATTTGGAATTCAAAGTAAATATCTGCACCACCAAAATGGAAAAACAGGATTAATTTGTGGTAGACGAACGTACTTGTAAGAACCAAATAGGACAGCAAAGCCTACCTCTTTCTGTCGACTTAATGCTAAGGATTCAAGCTCTTCAATGCGGACCCTTGAGGTTGTAAGTTCTTCATCCTTCTCAGATTTTATCTGTTGTGCCAAGCCCAAGCCAATGCATTTAAATGGGGAACCAGAGCCTCTAGACTTTGTGGCATTTTTCTCTGACTTGTTTGATGAACTTGTGGCATGAGTGGAATGGCCTTCAGGTCTGACTTGTTCAGCCATGGATTCCAATGCCTTAAACTGTTTGCAGATTTTGTAGTTACATAATTGAAGTACTAAAAAATATGTTTTTAAAAAGTTCATCAAGACAATGAGATTCAATCTTTCCCCATACCTTCTGCTTGTACTCACAAGCCTGTGCTTCTGCGTGCAAATTCAGCTCAGAGATATGTGCTTTAAATTGGGCAATCTGTCAGGTAAAAACAAAACCATGATATTGCAAAACTATAATTACAATAGATATGATTGAGTCTGCATTCCACAGTCATATCAGAAAACTATGGTTCAACATTGCAAGCTCAGATTAGAGTTAGAATTTATTGCAGTACAGGTGCTACAAGAACTTCACCTCTGCATCCTTCTCAGCTATATCCTTCTCAAGTATTTGTATGTTCTGTAGGGCTTCTTGAAGGCTTTTCTCTTTCTCATCTAAATATCTATTTTCAAAAGAAAATTAAAATTCATTATTTAATGTCCATTTATCAAAACAGTTGAGTGTGTTTGTGCACTTGAAACAAATTGATGGGAGGATGTGCTCTAACCTCTTCATGTCAGCATTAGCATTTTCAACATTCTGCATCTGATGTTTCACAGCATGAAGTTCCAATTCAAGCTCTTCTCCATGCAGCCGTTGTCGTTCAGCTTCTCCCTTAACAATATCAACCTAGGCAGGAGTCCATAGGTCGCGGTGATGATATGATAGATAATATACAGAACTAGAACAAGATTCATGTGACTTAATCGCAATCAAAGACATACCTTGTTTTCCAGCACATCTACAGTACGTTCAAGCTCCTCAACAGACCTCTCTAAGAGCTTCACCTCTGCCTCTTTGTCGTCGGCATAGTTCTTTCTTAATTCAGCTATCTGAAAATTAATACAGCAAACTAGAATCAGTATATGTAAATTTGAAGAAAAAGTAGTAAACTGTTTGTGCTGAACAAGCATGTACCTCTTGAGCTTCATTTGCAATTGCTTCAATTTCATCCGCTCGTGCTTGTTCTCTTTCGAGCTTTTCCTTCAACTTAAGCATCTCAATGTGAAGAAGATCCTTTTCACTAGCAAGTTCATGCATATTGCTCCTCAAGGATTCATTCGAGTTATTCATTTGGTCAAGAGCATTACTCATTTCCAGGAGTTCCATTTTCAAGCTCTCAGTTATCTTCTGTCTCTCTGTCAACTCCTTCTCGACAGAATACTTTGCTTCCAAAGCATCTTCCATATGAGCTCTCAGCTCCAGGTTTTCACTGGACAGCAATTTTACAGACTCGCGCTCTTCCAATATACCCAACTCAAGAGTGGAGATTACGTCTGTTTTCTCCTGCAGTTGAGTTTCAAGCATTTGGCTGTTAGCAATGGCCTGACCAAGCTCGCATGATTTTGCTGAAAGCTCATCCTCTAAAGCCTCCAAAGAAGCCTCAATTTCATCTTGTTGATCCTTATTCTTAGATGCAGATTCCTGCAACATGCTCAGATCAAATAACAATCCTTTAAGAACGTCATCCTTCCTTAGTAATTCAGCCTGAAGAGACAAATTTTCAGATACCAGCTCCTTAGCATGGCTCTCTAAGCAATCGACCTGCTCTATGAACTCAGATATTCTCTCTCCAGTTTCACATATTTCTTGAAACATTTTGTCCACAATGATGAAACCTTCGCCCTTTAAAATATTACGTAATATGTTACTCACTGAATCCACAGTTTCCACTGAATTAATGCACTTCTTACTGTTCACATTTGACATGGTGAGGAATTCATCCTTGCTTTTCTTGTGAGACAAAATTTCTTCCCTGAAGCGAACATTCTCTTCCTTCAGTGTATTAGTTTTGCTAAGACAGATCTGTAACTCCTGGCTTTTTGAGCACAGTTCTTCCAGAACGGCAGACTCTGATTGTTTGAGTTCATACAATTCAGCACTTTTCACCCTTAGATTAGTCTCCAGATTAGTAATATGAATCTCCAACGAGATAATTTCATCTTGTAACCTGCAGTTTTCTTTATCAAAGACATTTATACGGTTTAATGAAGATGCAAATTCAGAATTCTTCTCTGCCAAATTTTTTAGGGTCGTGCTGTTTTCTGTATTTAACTTCCCTATCTCAGTTTTAAGTGACTCATTTTCCATCTCCAAGTGACTCAATCTGCTCAGCTCGGCATCTTTCTTCTCTACAGCATCTTGAAGTCCAAATGATGAGGTTTGCAACATGCAAATATCATTCTGCAACCTTCGGTTGTCCTGATCAAGGACAGAAATCTGTCGGGCAGAAAGTTCTAAGTTCATTTCCTTCATTTTTAAATCTTCTTGTAGTTTTTGGTATTCAGCATCTAGTGCCTGAACGTGGCTCGACAGCTTCACCTCTGTTTGCTTAACTTCACCAAGTTCACCTTTCAAGGCATCATTTGAAAGAGCAACGTCCTTTAGCAACTGAATATCTTTTTCAAGAGCCTTGTTCACTTCATTTATTTGTGTGATCCTTAAAGTTCTTTGGTTCAGCTGTGACAACAAATCCTGCCTCTCCTTTTGGGCTTCCTTTTGCAGATGAGCAAACTCAACTTCTTCATCGAGTAAGGACTGTTCTTTCAACAGTGCATCAACCTTTGAAAGAATTAATTCTTTCTTCAAATCTTCAAGCATCACACAACAAGTGATATGCTCTCTCTCCATATCAACTTTGTGCATAGCCATCTCTTCTAATTCTGATGTCAAGATAAGTGACTCAAAGTCTTTCACACACCAATCTATCATGAAACACTCCGCTTGAGATTCAAGTGCCTCCTCTTTATCTTTCAGAAATTTCTCTTGATCCAGAAGGGATGTACCAAAATTTGAGTTGCTCAAATCGAACTCTTTCATTAGAATAGCAAGCTGAGATCCCATATAATTAGACCTTTGCAGCATTAACTCCTCTTGAAACTTAAGTTCTGATATCTGGTCCTCGAAAGTGTTGAGCTTCATATTAAGCTTCCCTGCTTCCTCTTCTCTCCTTGTGATGTGATCAAAACTGTTCTTAATGTCGGTCAGTAATTTCCCCTTTAGAATCTGACACATCTCGAGCTCTCTTTTTGACCTAATGTTGTGTTGCCTCAGATCAGCTATACAAGAACTTGATTCACAAAGTCCACGTTGAAGCAGACCGTTCTCTGCATTCAGCCCAGTCACTGTTTCCAGCAAAAGTCCCATGTGACAGAGGTGTAGAACTGAAACTGCACAATCCTTCACAATTATCTCAGACCAGATGTCCTCAAGTGATGAACGAACCAACTTTGAGGAGTCTGAAAGCAGAGACTTCACACTGCGGAAATCAGAGGCTAAAAGCATGAAATTTTCGTTGTAATTAGCCTGGACCTCTGCAAGCATGCCCTCCAGCTCTACAACCAGAGCCTTTGTTTCCTTTATATCTGAGGCAAGCAACTCTTCAACTTCTGCAAATTGTTGATTGCTCAGATGATTGATGGACTGCAAGCTTTGAACCTCATTTAGTAACATATCCCTGTCACTCGTTACTGAGGCTTCCATTTTCTTCAGCCTTTTTATTTCAAGCTTCATTGTTTCATTTGATATCATCAGTTCATTGATCATAATATCTGCTTCCTTTATGATATCCTGAGCCTCTTCGAACTTAGGAAGAATGCAAGAGACCTCAGCAGTTTTCTGATCTGCAACTAACTTTGCATCATCAAATTCTATTTCCATTAGCTGCGAGGGAAAAAAACCAAAGAAGTTGATAAAGTTGTTCAATGCCAAGATCTACGCACAAGTGAGTTAGAAATAAATTTACAATTACGTACAACACAGGGAAACATAAGAGGATTTATAAAAAAAAGAAAACATAAGAGGATGGAAAAGGACAATGGATTCAGGTATGAGCAGATATTATCATTATCTCAGAAGGTTGCTTTTGGTTTTTCTGGGTACACACAGATAAGCGGAAGTCTTGTCAGACAGTAGGGTGTAGCTCAACCAAGAAACAAAAATGAATTGAATTTGAAAATACAATGGTTTACCTCTTTTGTTTGGCACCAGTGAGAGCCAGCTTCCTGCAAAATCTGTTGAAATGCTTCCAGTCTATGATTGTGAGCTTCCAACTTCACTTTCGATTGCCTTTCTAAGTTATTCATGGTTGATTGCAGATTAAGGACCTGAGTTATGAGATATTTCATGCTTTCCCGACTCTGTTGCTCGGACTTGCACATCGCTTTGTTCTCTTCACGTAGTTTGTCCATCTCAGCCTGTACCTCTTTTAAGCTATCAAGGGCAGCTTCTATTTCCTTTTTCAGAAGAATAATGGTAACATCTCTACCACTCACTTCCTTGGAAGGTCTGTCAGACTTCAAATTTTCCCAAGTGCATATATTAGCGCTAATACTCTTCCTGGCTTCAAGAGAACACTCAGATAAATCATCTCTTCGGTCTTCAACAAACTGTTTGTTTCCATTCTGGTCTATAATTGTTCCCGTAGCTATCTGCAACAATATTTAGGCATAGCAATTACAAAACAGAACACTCTTCAAAGAATTCCTCTACAACATAGACGTGAACCTCAAGATCAAGCTATCAGGAAGCGAAACATTAACTTACCCATCCACCTCCTTCTCCTTTGGAAGTCTTACAAGATACTTGTGAATTCTTCATTTCAGAACTTGTATGATGCTCCGCATGTGTGTTCATGCATGACCTGAGTGTGGATACACCAGTTTTTAGCTCAGCTAGTTTCTCCTTTGTCATCAAAATGTTTTTCTCTTCAACATCTTCAAGCTTCTGTTCTATAGTGCAAGCACGTTGCCGCTCCTCAGAAAGCTCCTGCCTTAGATTGGTGCAGGTTCTCTCCCACTCTTCAACTTCCCCACTTAGAGACTGAATTTTTTTCTCTCCTTCTGCTATCACAGTTGCCTGATCATTGAGAATGGCAACCTTCATCGAGATCAAGTTTTCTGATTCACTAAGCTGAATATTCTTATGCTTTAAAGCGTCTTCATAATCAAGTTTCATCTCTTCTAACCTGTTCACAACAACGAAAGCACCTGTTGCACAAACTGATGTTTTTCTTATCTGATCTTCAAGCAGCTTTACTCTATTCTCCAGCTTTTCCACTTTAGATGTCTTTGCATTCAACTGCGTTGTAATCATCTCAAAGACTTCAGCATGCACTCCACATCACTTTTCTTGTTGTTCGCATCCTCTAAACACTTCCTCAATTCTTCAATCAAAAATTCCTTTTCACAGATGGTTTGTACAATTCTTCCAACTTGTTGCGAAATCCAAATCCTTTTCTGCGGAAAGGAATGGGATATAAGGTCAAGTTGATCAGAGGCACCATCTAGTACCTCACACCCATCAGAAAGAACTTCTTCAATCTCACTGGACAATAATGCCCATTCTTCTGATAATGTTCTTGCTTCCCCATCTTTCTCCTCAAGCTCTTTACCTAACCTTTCATTATCTTTGTTCAACATGTACAACTTTCCTCGCACATCCTTCAGTTCAGCTTCCAGAATCATTACATTTTTGTTCATCTCCAATTCTTTCAAATGGCTATCATGAATTTGCTGCTGAAGCATGCCAAGTTCTTCCTGCATACAGACAATCACCTCAGCAGTTTCAGCCTCAGCCTGCCTGCGGACTTCATCCATTTCTTCTTCATTTGACACTTGAAATGCACGATCACTTTGGTACCACGTATTCAGTCTCTTTGCTTTTTCAAGGGAATCTTGCATCCTTTTCAAATTTCCCTGTAATGGCGAGTCATGATTGTTTGAGCAGTTCAAAGGTGATAAGTCTCTAAACTCCTTAAAATTACGTTGTTCCTTCAGAGCCCTCAATTCAAGCTCCTGTTCACTCAAAAGCTGCACATAATGATTGTTACTATTCCTCATATCCTCAAGCTCATTGATTGATAGAATTTGCTGAGACTCGAGAGCTTCAATAATAGACTTAGCCTCTTGCAATTTGCTGTTTGCATCATCATGTTGTTTGCTTATCAGAAAAAGTTCTTCATTTGCCAGCTGAAGATCTCTATTTAAGAAAAACACCCTTTCCTCTTGAGTAGTCCTCTCTTCTTTAAGAATGATATTCAGTATATCCAATTCTAGCTGTAAATTCAAAATCTCTTCCGCATGTTTTCTTAGAGGGTCATCCTTCCGTTCTATCTCCTCAATTTGAACCGCATTGTGCACCTGAATTCAAAAGGTAGATTTAGTGAATCCTGAAAGTAATATCTACTGCTTCCCTGTAAACCTTGTACATAAAATACAAGAATCTAAAGCATGCCTATGCACACAACAGAAGATGCAAAGCAAACACACACGTGTCACATAAGCCTGAATAGACAATCTACAGTGGCGGCCATAAAGAATTGTAAAACTAGGCCACAGGATTCATTACACTAAGGCTCTATTGGATTCTACCATAAAACAATTTACTGGCGGCCATAAAACAATTTCTCATTTTAAAGACAGAAATACCTCCAAAGCTACACCACCATGTTGATCAAGGGGCTTGAGATTGTTCAGCATTGTGCGCAGATCATCAATTTCCCTGCAACATATGGGAAAGAACAAAACCACATGAGTATATTACTTTAAGAATAAGAATTCCAATATAAAGGCAGAAACTAAGTGTACCAATGACCCCATGTATTGATAAAACAGGAGGACAAAATTTTCTAACCTGCTGAGTTTTGCATTATCCTCCATACAATTATTTAAGTTCCGCCTGCATTCCTCTAACTCATGGAGAGTATTCTTTAACTGAAACCATGAAACCAAATATGTTAATATGAGTAAAATAATGAAGCGGCTATTTAGAGACATGAGTAAGTTCTACCTCTGAATTGAGGGAATCATTCTCTTTGTTCGTGCACATGGTTTCCTGTTTCAATAAAAGACATATAATTAGCGAAAAAAGATAACACACAAACATAAGTATATTAATTATAGCTAGCCCTGGATTTGGCTCCCGGGGAAGCTTGAGGTAAGGAAAATGCTTGAGGAAGCCACAAACAGAAATCCACTCCCATTTTCCTTTCATTGACATCATATATTCCGAAATGAATGAAACTTAAAATATAAAGAATTACCAAATAGAATTATAGTAACCAACCTGAGGTTTCATACTAAAATTTGGAATGCTAGGGTTCTTAGAGTGTCCATCAAGAAATTGAAGCAACTGAAAACAAAAATTGTATTTAATTTGTTATACCAGCCGTAAACAACAGCTAAAATGGGGATTAAAAAACATATTTTTGTTATTTCTTTAAGTACCTGATCTCGCAGTTTAGATACCTCATCTAAGAGTATCTCTCTCTCCCCTTCTTCATAAAAATCTTGAAACCTGTGAATGCCACAGTGAAGAGATTAGTTTAATGGATAGGAGAGTTCTTAAATTGATTGATTTTGAAAAAAAACTACCTTCTAAGTTGGTCCAAAAGCCTTATATTCTCCAATGCAAAGCGAGTTACTTCGGGATTCTTATCAAGTTTTGCTTGAAGTAGCAGAATCTGTTCAGAGAGTGTTTTGTTCTCCTCCAGTAAGTAAGTCTCCACAGGAATAGAACCACTAATAAGTGACTCCATTTTCTGAATTTTGTCTTCCCGAAACCGAAGCATCATTTTAGTGCACCTGGTGTCTTCCTCTCTTTGATGAACCTGAGAGTAATGAATGCTAAGGAGTTAAGCCACAATCTCCAAATGGAAAAATAATAAAGAAAGAATGCACAAAGACCCCTAAAAATACCAAACGGTTCAACTGCTCTTTTTCAGCTTCAAGTTGCTTGATGGTAGTTTCTGCCATCTGCTCCCTTCTCAAGGCACCCGCAAGTGTTGTCTCCAAAGATTTTAACTGATTCACCGTAATATTCAGCCAATGCAATGATTCCAAAAACAAGGAAAATCTAGTGACATGGTTCATGGTAAACCCAAGAATAGTACAGCAGTCCCACAACTAAAAATAGAAAGGTGTAATCTAACAGTGATTAAGTGTTTTTCTTATGTTGCTTGGGATGCTTTTATATGAGACATTCCTAATATATGTGCACCCTGTAATGTCATTAACATGAACAACCAGCTATTTGGCATGTTTAGCATGATGCTAAAGAAGAAACAGTCATAGACACGTCACACACACATAGATTTATTCACTTGTTTAGGTATTTAGTTGATCAGTTTCTAGACAACATAGAAGCTAGCAAAGCAACCATACCTGTTTGGTGGAAAGTCTCACAGTTCCTTTTGATCCATTTTCCAGAAAATCATCATCACACTCGAGGTCCATTTCACATACATTTCCATTACAATCAATTTTTCGTACTTGTGTGTCTTCAATATTGGTCGAACCAAACGATAAAGATCGGGAGACATTGTGACGCTTAAGAATGAAAAGCTCCTCCTATTCCAGAAAGCACACCATTTGAACTATTAATTATTTGATATATGAGAACATAAAAGAACAAAGATAATCAGTACTACCTTTAAAAGCCGTATTTGGTGTTGTAGGGCAATGACATCCCCTGTAGCATCTTCATTCACCACAGCCTGCGCAATGACAAAGAAAGAAATATATTGGTCAATGAATTGACTGATGCTTAATAATTTAAAAAACACTAGTTACAGTATGAAGCTTACATTGTTTTGAATAAGCTTTGCTCGCTGAGCAAACTTAAGGGTATTCAGTGTTTCAGCTTGACAACTGTAACCAATAGACCAAATATTAGTAAAATTTACAAAAAAAAGGTTCATCAAAGTTTTGTCACGAAGTGTATAAATTCAAATGATTTTAGAATAAAATAGAAGAGAAAACAAACCAGATAGAAGGGCTGACATTTGCAATGATCATTGTTTTGGAGTTTCCACCGAGTGAGTCCTGCATTTATGTGGTACCAAGAGTAACATTCTGTCTAAGAAATTTACAGTTGATTAAGGAAGAGAAGATGGAATTACAAATAACCTGTAGAAGGAAGGTTAGCCTAGAGTCTCTATACGGTACATGTTTCAGCTTCCCATGTGCCATATCCACTAGAACCATTATAACATGACTGCAAATGAAATAACACCCATTAACATTACGAAGGGCTAGAACAAGAAACACATGAATACGCATAGGAGAACCAAGATAGGAATTAAAAAAACATACCCCAGTGCGGATAGTGATTTATTAATATTAGCAGCTTCCTTTAACCGTTCACCCTCAGCACCAGAATCTTTCTGCCTAAAAAAAACAATTGGGTCAGGAGTTGTTGACATGCAAATATATATATAATTATATATACAACAAGCTTGGGTCTGACAACATACCTTTCTGAACCAGCCAGATCAACTAGGTTCAGTCTAGCAAAACGTAGATTAGCTGTGGAATCTTTTTCCCATCTACTCTCAATTACACAAGTAAAGACACTGTGTGAACGACTGCTTTCTCTATTCATGTTTGTTGCAGCAACTTTCCTATTTGAAGAACCCTATGTGCAACAAATTACAGTTTAATTCAGTCACATGCCTGCATGTGTGCATTATGCAGATAGAAAATCGTGTGCCTACAACTGAGAAGGATTATGATCAATGAGTGGAAACCTGGATTAGTAGCCTCAGGATATCGCTCACGGTACAAACTTCAAATTCAGAGAGATTTTCTACGTAAACACCCTTCTTAACATCCTCCCGCAGCTTAAAACAAAAGGTAAATGATAACATAATGAGAAATACTTCAAGATAATCAAACGTCATGCATTTGTAAAAGAATCCACTTACAAGTAAATTGGTAGATGATGGATCAAGGAGATCCGTAATTTGTTCATTGTAAATCTCTAAGAAAGAGCACTTGCAATTGTATTTTAATTTCTCATCCCTCCGGATTTCCTCTTCCTGAATATACAAAGATGAAGTAAAAATCATATAGTGAAAAACTTCTATGTACTCACGTATAATCAAAGAGATAAAGTACAAAAAAGTTTTAAAGAAAACTTACAGCTTGAATCCTTGCAAATAAAAATTCGAAAATGCGGGGCGTCATTCCACGGTGTGGACTGGGCTTGGTTTCTAAGTCTTCAATCTCCCCAAGCATTGTATATGTCTTTCCACTTCCTGTCTGCAAGACCAAATCCCAAACATTATAAACACGTTGGAATAATACAAAACTACCATATGCTTAAACTGTTTCAATTAAATAAATACAATCTTTCAGTTATGAGAAGTATACAACATGCTATTGCATACACATCCATTTTATCTACGCCTTCATGGTTGGCAATTTCTGCCATATGATGCATGCTATTTTGACCATGTGAAGCAATAATAGGAATGACATACTAGACAGAATAAATGTATAGAGAAATTGGATTGTACAAATAGGACTAGGTAGGCATCAAAGATGTCTCTGCCTCCATCTAGTAGCATGACATAAAATTCAAGGCGCTAGATGAGAAATTTAAGCCATCTTACTTTCCCTAATACAATATTTTGCATAGCTCTGCTAGGTAATAGTAAGTCGAGTTTAACCAGTGCTCATGTAAATTGATGATAAGAATGAGGACCAAATGCAGCAGAGCATAAGTGTGACTTTCATGGTTGCATTAACCTCACATTACTAAAGGTTCACTCTGTTCCTGGTTAAACAGTACCCAACTCAATGAGATTACCTGACCGTAGGCAAACATACAACTATTATACCCTGACAAACAATTCTCTACCATCGGGAGACCAGCCATCCTGAAAAGCATTTCCTGCAAAACTCGCAAATTTAAAAACCACATGTAACTAGCACAAATGAGTAGAAGCTTAAGAAAAAAAAATATAGTATATCAGAATATAATCTTGTCCCGAATCACACCTGATCAACTGTTTCACAGGCTACATGATCAAATGTGAACCGACTTTCTGGTTGCCCAATCCAAGAAATTGTCTGAGCACTTTCTTGCTTCAAACACCTACTGTAACCATGCATACTCCGCTCCATGCTATTGAGAGGACGGACACGAATAAGAACCTAAATCAAATTTACAATCCCATTAGCATAACTTGCAATATACTACAGAAAGTTTGCAAATTTTGTTGGCCCAATCCATTTCCTTCAATCATAAAAATAGAAAAATAGAATGAACATAAAAACTCTAGAAACCATTAAACGAAAAATCCACTATTGCTCATTTGTAACATATTTTTTACTTTTACTTGAATACAAAATAAGCTCAATCGTGAAACAATAAATGTATGTCCAAATTGGATTACAAACTGAGCTTTTTACCTGTACATTGTGATCCATCCAGAAAGAGGGATCTTCCTTGAGATCAAAGTGAGGCACTTCCACTGTATTAACCACCGTAGATGGACCACAAGAAATGGGAATCCCTTTATACATTGTGGCATAGTTCCCTCCTCGAGGACCAACACTTCCATCAACTTTATTCCGAAAACCCGAATTCGGAGGCTTTGAAACACTCTTGGTCGGTGTTGTCTGCGTTGAATTACTCTCCGAATAACTCGAAACAGCCCTCCCAGCTGTCCTCATTACCCGAGGAGTCACATTTGCCAAATCCCCATTTCCAGTACCACCCCCTCCTCTGCTCACTTGGGTCGAACAATTAGCCCCATCTTCATGCGAATCACTGGTGGTCATACAACTGGGTTCAGTCTTCTGGGCCCAGCCAAATCGTTTCCGGGTAGAAAACCCAGGTCCGTGCTTGTCGGGGGTCCGAAGAGGCAACGTGGGATCAGAAGTTTTAGCCTTGGAAGCCTTAGTTGGTGTCTTTTCAACCCTGCTCCGAATACCCACTTCTTGTTCTGGCTTGGGAAGCTGACCGAGCTCTTGAATCGGGTTAAATGGAGCTCTAGACGACTCGGAGCTGATTCGGTTCGCCGATAAGTCCTTTGGGTTCATCGGCGGCACGTTCTCGGGCTCTTCTTTCTTTTGGGAATTTGAGCGGAGGAATTTGAAATCCCTCAACATCCTGATGTGCAGAAATTCAAGAAAGACAAGGAAATGGGAATATCAGAGAAACATATTTACATATTTTTGGATTTATTAGTGAAAATTATGTAAATACGTACCTGAAAGAAGAATTGAAAAACAAAATATGAAGCTGTCGAATTGCTATTATTGATTTTGCTGACGAATCTCTGGAAGTGGGTCTTGACTCAATAGCTCATCTCTTCCTTTTTGTGTTGCTGGTTTTGAGCTCGAGCATCTCTCTCTCTCTCTCTCTCTCTCTCTCTCTCAATCTCACTGTGGAAGTTCAAAGTTGTTCGGGGTTTTGAACAGAGCTCTGAAAGCTAAAAGGTTAAAGGACTTGAAGGGACGGTTGAGATGTAATCTTAAATTTGAAATTGCGCATCCCGCAAATGAAGTCGCGGTTTTGGGATTTGAATTACGAGGGCTTTTTGGTCAAAAAAGGAAATATGAGGGGTATATTAATTATGACTGTAAATTCAAATTTCAACGGCTACATGCCACATGCCCTATAACTATGAGATTCGAATTCAAACAGCCCTGGAGTTATTTTGTTCTGCTTTTTATATTTCTCACCATTCAAACTAAGGTCATCTCCAATCATGGGCTAAATATAGTCTAAGGTTAAAAATTTAGCTCTTCAAAATATTAATTGTTTAAAGAATAATATATGGCTAAATTTTTCCATCTCCAGTCATGCAGGGCTATATTTTAAGGTCATTCATATTTTATTATTTTGAGAAAAACTATGGTATAACACATACATTCCGCAACTATGTATTATTTAATTTAATTAAACTACTATTTAGAGAAAATATTTCATGACCAAGAATTTTTTATAAAAATATATATATATATATATATATCCAGCTGACATCATCAATGAAAAGTACATGCATGGAGCCCACAAAAAATTTGGCCTAGGACTAGGCCAAAGTTGGGCTAAATGTGGCCTGGTTGGAGGGCTAAAGGGCCAAATGTGGCCCTCCAAATATGGCCAAAATTTTGTTTAGCACATGGCTGGATATGGGTTTTGCATTATTTTAGGGTTATATTTGGGATATAGCCCATGGTTCGAGATGACCTAAAACTATGAAAAATATAAGGCAATCAAACTCTTGATTTCTTGATATTTCTCTTTATAATTTCAGAGGATTTTTAAGTTCAAATCTCCTTTCACGTTAATATATTAAGGGCTCGTTTGTAAGTGATTTTAGATATGCCAAAATCATTTTTGGAGAGAAGCATTAGTGATTTTAAGTGATTCTTGAGAGAATATGTGTTTCCCCATAAAATCACTTAAAACCACCTGGGCTTGTTTATGATTGCTTCTCTAGAAAGCATTTATGCTCATAAGCGCTTCTAGCAAAAATGCTTTTATTGTAAAGATGTTGAAATTTTCATAAGAAATCCAAGTGCTTCGTGGAAAGCACTTGGGAGTGTTTCCTGGAAAAGCACTTGGCAATACTTCTTGGAAAAGCACATGCTAGAAAGCGCTTTTATAAGCCAGATGCGCATTTGGTTGTCATAAAACACTTTTAGCCCTTTCAGAAGTATGCCCAAACCCTGTACAGTGATTATATGGAGAAGTGATTCTCAGTAAAAGTGATTCTCATGTGCACAAATTCAAACACTTTGGTCTATCTAGAATGTTGAAAAATCATAATTGACTAAATAAAACTAAAACAAAAATATGAATAATCCTTGAAAGAAAGCCTAAAATAATTATGATGCTTATATTAGGGCCCAACTTTAGGAGGGCCCCAAAATTTTGTTTCACCATATATATTATTTATTATTATGTCATATATTTGTTTTAATTTAGGGTTAGTTTTGTATTGTTGTGCTGTAAAAATAATTATTATCAAATTTACTGTGAGAGAAATCAAATGTGAAAAAAAAAAAAAACAGTTTGCGGTTTGTAAACTTTTTGTTTGAAGTGTTGTTGGTACAATAATAATAGGGTAACTTTTTGTGAGTGTCTAGTAACTTTTTGTGTAAAAGTGCTGTGAGCTGTATATAATGACTAAAAATGATATCATGCTGAAATGACATTTATATTCAATTATTTTGTAAAAAAGAAAAGCATTTTCATTTTCATTTGCTAGTTCTCCTAAAAAATCAGTAATTAAAATCCATTGGTTGACCAACGCACTCTGAGATTCATGAGCCTCACCAATTATAACCTTTATCTGCATACATGAACATATTTCTAGTAAACATTACAAATCCTGCTTTAACATGCCAATCATTCAAATTCGAATACATCACACAAAATTGGAACTAGAAAATGTGGACAAAAATCTAGCAAGATCAACTAAACACTAGACTTGGTTAAAGAAATTTATAATCATGATCACAAACCGTGCTCTGTCATCCCAACCATCCATATTTGAATACATTACAAATAACAGCATGGACAGGCAATTGGAACCATCTATACTGTTCATTCGAAAACAAACATATATATATATATATGTATGTATATATGCCAATGCATTCTAACTGCCAGATTTGCAAATATCACAAGTGAAGAAAGGAAATCAAGTGCAGGCTGAAGGTCGTCGTTGCTTGCTGCTCAGCAGCATGACTGGACTTGATGAACCCAAACCCAAAAGTGCAGGCTAACTTTATTAAGAAGAGATAAAAACAAAGAAAAACGAATTGAGTTTATGGATTGAAAGAAGTTGCAAGATTCAGGTTGTGTTTATAGCTATCAATTGCAATGGCGTGGTCTATCACAAGATGCAAAACAAAAGAACCAAAATACAATTTAATTACTTATTTGGTTGATTGAAACAAACAAGCTAGGGATCATTGATGCAGGCTCATAAATTCTTAAAAAGAAAAACGCAATTGATTAATTTCATGGTTTATCAGTTTGATTTGTACAATAAACCCATATTATATATCGAGAAGCTTCTCTAACCCTAACTGAGAAGAAAGAAATTGACAAGGAAAATAAACCTAATATGTCTCTTACCTGAATCTTACGGATTCTAGAGAGTGTTTTAATTAATCCAACAACAAAAATTGAGGAACGTGGAAGAGAGGGTGTAAAGACGACGGATGGGAAGGAGAAGAGAGACGAGAGCGTGAAAAAAAGGACGGGGTTATTTATGAAATTTTGAAAGTTTCATTAAACCCAACGCCTCTTCAAAATTGATTCCCGCATGATAAAAAAAATAAAACCAGCTCATCACCTGCTTTCCCTAATTGCTTTATCTCATAGTAATTATTCAAAATAAGGGATTTTATTATCTCTTACCAAACAGGTTGGGCTTTTAAAAATTTCAAAATAATCACTTATAGCCTCAAATAAGCAATATATGATATATCCACCTAAAAAAAATTATATCCACCACTTTGTTTAAGTTGATTCCACATAAATATTAATATATTAAAATGACATCTAATAGGAGCTCTTGATTAATAACCTAGCAGCCATAGGTTTATTGTCTTTTTGTTTTTGCTTTATTTTAATTAGTAATTTGATGGATCACGGGGTTTTGATTTTATGCTCCTTGTTGAATAATTTGTTTAACATTCCAATATATATGCTCCCTGTTTTTTTAGTATTTTTGTTGAAGACTTTGTTTTAGGAGGCTCATATTACTCAATTTGTATACATATATAGAGAGTTTCAATCGAGTGTTCCCTTAAATAAGATAATTTGAGGGACATTGTTATAAGGCCACTCAGCATTGTACGGTAATAATACGAACTATCTACTTTTTATGTATTACCTCAAAGATCATCTTTAGAAACACTCAAATTCATAACTATTTAATCACTCAATTAAATAGTTGTCATTGTGATGTTTTTTTGAAGTAATTTCTAATTATTTTTATTTTTTATTTAAAATAATCTTTAAATAATGACTTAAAAAATAAACCGTTCAAATTATTAATGCACACTGCGTAGTAAACCCCACAATGTGTCCTTCAAATCTTAAAGAATTCCCTCTATATGTTAACGATAATGGCATCAACAGCAACTCTTAAAAGCACTGACGTTGAGAGGGTATGGACAGTATCAAATTATCAATGCATGTTACTACTCTTGACATGTGGATGACTCCAAATGAAGACGAGTTGGCACATACATCAACGGCTATCACTGCTCTTAATGTTATAAAAGGGGGTTATTGCTGTAATCGCACTAGTGTAATGCTTTATTTTTACCAACGTTTTGGTTGATTGAAAACAAACAAGCTAGGGATCATTAATGCAGGCTCATAAATTCTTAAAAAGAAAAACGCAATTGATTAGTTTCATGGTTTATCAGTTTGATTTGTACAATAAACCCATTATATATTGAGAAGCTTCTCTAACCCTAATTGAGAAGAAAGAAATTGACAAGAAAAATAAACCTATTATGTCTCTTACCTGAATCTTAAAGCTTCTAGAGAGTACTTTATGTTAAATTTCAGAGAGACGAGTCACCACATAGTGTGCATTAGTAGTGGAACAATTCCCCTCACTTGGGACCAACACATAGTGTGCCACACATGAAGCCAAGTCCACAATGAAGTCAAACATTCAAGCCCAACACGTAAACACCACATATTATGTAAGGGATAAGGGTAAATATTCAAGCCAAACATGTGAACACCAAATGTTGGGTAAGAAGTAAGGGTAAAGGACCAGTAATTGAGACCTAGACAATAAACTCGCTCTGATACCATGTTAATTTTTAGAGAGACGAGTCATTGGCCCACTATTAGCAACACCGATATTATTCCCAACTTAATCACCTACAAAACCCAATAGGCGTGTGATTTTATCACAAAAGGTCTCGGTACAATTAGTAGTGGAACCATTCATTATATGTTATATTTTATTTTGTTAAGTTTCCGATGTTAGACTTTATTCTTCAACACTTTAATCGATCCAACAACAAAAAATTGGAGAAGGAATGGAAGAGAAGGAGAAGAGTGATAGCTTTGGACTGAGGAACATGGAAGATAGGGCGTAAAGACGAACAATGGGAAGGAGAATAGAGACGAGAGCGTGAAAAAAAAAAAAAGACGGGGTTATTTATGGAATTTTGGAAGTTTTATTAAACCCAATGTCCATTCAAAATTGATTCCCCTATAATTAAAAAATGAAAGCAGCTCATTACATGCTTTTCCTAATTGCTTTATCTCACAACAATTATTCAAAATTATAAGTGATTTTATTATCTCTTCCAAAACAGGTTGGGCTTTCAAAAATTTCAAAATAATCACTTGTAACCCTAAATAAGCAATGTCAAA